CTGTGGTCCCCCAGGTGCCTGTGAATCACACTGTCCTCCCTGGAGGTCTACAGAAGACGCTTGCTGAGGTTGCCCTCGCGGGGCCACAAGCACGAACTACATCAACCTAGTTCTTTGCCTCTGCAGTACCAGAAGTTCTTCTGCCACCACAGAAGGATTTAACAAGAATTTCGTTGCCCTCAGAACCTTGTGCAACATCCATTTTCCCAATTCTCTGCCAGCTTTGTCTGTGCAGCAGTCTTAGGTTACGTAGGGCAGATGGGGAGAGGGATCACATTTCAAGTCTCCGTCTGCATCCTTGAGCCCTCCCTGAGCAGTTTCACCCAGGAGAGCCGGGAGGAGGGACCAGGGACCAGCACCCCCAGGAGATGACAGTGTCAAGTATGCCTCAAATTTTCATCTTCAACGGCTGGTATCATCTAACTCCCTTGGGAGAGACTACACTTTGTTGCTTAGACTAGCAATATAATCTCTAGCTATCCCAATGCCAAAATATCAGTTACAGGTTCATTTGTATGATGGGATCCACTGGAGTTCAGACCACTGGAACAATGGCGTGAGTCAGGGTTTGGGGCAAAACACCGGATGGGATTGAGCCCCACGTGAAATGAACTAAGGAAAAGTCAAATTCTCTATATCGTCACATTTTAAGTAACTTAATTCCAAACCGCTCTTTGTCTCATTAAGCTGTAAAAGGGGAGCAGATACTCCTGAAGGGGTTTTCTTCTTGGAAGTCCCAATTAGAAAGAAATTAACATTCCCATAGCACCCCAACTCTCCTCACATAATGATACTGAAAAAACAGTAAGTGATTTGCAATTAGAAATAAATGTTTTCCCAGACACAGAAGGCCACTTAAGTATAATTCCATTCACATGAAATATCTAGAACAGATAAATTGATAGGAAAATTCCAAAAGCAGATGGGTGGTTTCTAGGAGCTGAGAAGAGGAAGAAATGGGAATAACTGCTAAAAGGGTATGGTCTTTTGTTCAGGTAATGGGAATGTTCTGGAATGAGACAGTGGTGATGGTTGTACAACCCTGTGAATGTACTCAATGCCACCAAACTGTCTGCTTTAAATGATTGATTTGACGGTACGTGGATTTCACCTGAATAATTAAAAAATGTCTTATAATTAAAAGACTCATCATTTCTCGTTGATCAACAATCTAACACCACTGGGAAACAAGGGGAGGATTTTGTTCCCATTCCACAGAGCGAAGAGGGATTAAGGAGGTCTCTCAATTCTAGTATTTGTCACCTTTTGACCTTTCTGTGTGTGAAAAGCACAGTATTTCCCAGATGTCTGTAGCACAGAAGTAATTCAAAACAGTGACCCCTGATTTGTTTGGCCACAAGTCTAACTTCACAGTCAGCATTAGTAGTGGCAGGAACAGCAACTGTTGATCTACAGTGACCAAGTGCTGGCTGGGTCACCCGAAGCCAACTGAATAGGCCTGTGTCTACCTGACGAAGCCTGACAGGCCTGCGTGGTCTAGCTGGCTGCAGGAAGCAGCGAACTGGGGTGGGAGGATACGAAAAGGGGCAATTTCCACACACTTTCAGATCAAAGCAAGTCAATGTTAACAGAGAGCAGAATGATCTTTGGAAAAGAGGCAGCATTTCTCTTTTTTGCCCTTTTTATACTTAGAAGAATACAGGCTTCAACACAGAGATCCAAAGCACGCTGCCGTTCAGGGAAGAAACCCTGTAGCTTAGGGGGCATCAAAACACATTTAGAACAGAGGTGACAAGAAGGGACCTTGAAAGGAAACCACGGCCCACTCAGGAGAGGCAGACCAGGCTTGTCTGCCACCTGCCCTGTCCACACCCATCGTGGCTTTGGAGCCCTGGTGAGACAGGCCTCCCTAGCCCTCACCCACCAGCGCCTCAGCCGTTCACCTTGCCTCAGATTAACTTCTTGGTGCATCTCTACTCTTTCTGCTCTTGACCTTGGGATATTTTCTTCCTATTGCAGCTTTATCTCACATCCCAGACTGAACACTCAGATTTGCGTGCTGGCTTTCCTTGACCAGGATTTAGACATTGCGCCAGCACAACCACCTCGGGTCACTTCGTCCACAGTCAGCCCAGCCAGGGATGTCACTTGAGGGCTATGTGTCCTCATAGGCATGGGCACTGTTGCATTCTGTTCTGATGTGTCCTTCTTCTTCTCAGGTGTACCTCTCAACACTATGTCTAAAATACGGCTCTGGTGTTGGTTCAGACTCACAAATGGCCAGGCAAGCTTCATATTTAGAAGGGGTCTTTAAATGTAATGAAAAGCAAAATTTATTAAATGCTTTCAAAATCTCCTCAATAAGCCAGCTACCTCAGTGAGCTGTGCATGCACACACGCGTGACACATACACACACACACACACACACACACAATTTTTTTCCCCATGTTATGTGAGGGGGGAAAATGTATTCTTGTCACAAAATGTTCTGTAAGCCACATAAATTAATTGCAGTATTATTTCCTGGAAAAAGTCCTAAAAGAGAAAAGAAGCATCTGTTTCCTATGTTTCTCAGGCTTTGAGTTGAAACAGGCAAAGTGGGAGTGGGAGGCAGACAGGGCTCCTTGAGTGGGAGCGCTGGGCCACATGGAAGGGACTACAATCCTGACTGGGTGCAACTCCAGCCCCAGTCCAGGGCAGCTCCCCGTCAGCTCCATCCTGATATCACAGTCACATGGCACGTGGCACAGGGTCATTTTGATCTGGCTTTTTTGGATTGCTGACTCTGACTTTCAGCCAGTCATTTGCACTTTCTGAGCTGGTTTCTCCACTTAGAAGACGGGAATGGTAATCTCTATTAAGTGTTTAGGATGACTATGGCGGGTTTAATTATGGCTCCCTGAAAAGATCCCTGTTCCATAGAGAGGGACCATAAGCTTGGACATAAGGTCATTGCAGTTGTAATTAGTTAAGATGAGGTGTCACTGGAAGGGCGTGAGCCCTTAATCCCACATGTGGGTGCCCATACAGGAAGATGGAAGATGACCACTGAAGACAGACCCAGCAGAGGAGCCCCGTGACAACAGAGGCAGATGCTGGAGTGACCCAGGTGCCAGCTGAGGAGCATCAGGGACTGCCAGGCGCCACCAGAAGCCAGGAAGAAGGGAAGGATCCCCGCCTCTGTCTCAGAGGGAGCATGACCCTAACTTGATTTTGGACTTGCCTACAGAACCATGAAATAATACAATTCTGTTGTAACCACGTGGTTCCTGGTACATTGTGATGGCAGCGTAGCAAAGCAGTGTGGTGATGCAGGTCTAATTTACTTAGTGTGTGCGCATGTATGTGTGTATGCATGTGCGCGTGTGCATGTGTGTGTGCATGTGTGTTTTCACTGCAGAGGAAACACACCCAAGTAGACCAGGTAGGGAAGAAGGAAACTTCTCTTGTGTATCTGCCATGGTTTGAATGTGAACCCCTCATGTTGGAAACTTAATTCTGAATGCAACAGTGGGGCTTAATGAGAGCTGACTGGGTCACATCCCTATCACGGCATTGGGTTAATCAGTGCAAAAATGTATCTACTAGAAATGCAAGTTTGGCCTGTTCTTGCTTTTGCCTCTGTTGCTCCTTCACCTTCCTCCATGAGATGATCCGCATGAAGACCACACTTTTGGGCTTCTAAGCTTCCAGAACCATGAGCCAAAGAAATTCCTGTTCTTTATAAACCACCCAGTCTCAGGTATTTTGTTATAGCAGCAGAAAATGGACCGAGACAGTATCTAACCAATGGAAATGTCATGATTTCCTCTGGACCTGACATTGCCTCTCCAAATTCCCACTTACTCTGTCCTGGCATGCACCAGCTACACTCCCTTCTTAGGGCCTTTGCATTAGCTGCTTCCTCTGGGAGATGCCATCTTTCCTCAGTGAGCCTCTAGCTATTCAACTTAACACTACAATGAGAACCCGTCCACCTTCAAATACTCCCAATTCCCCTTATTCTGCTCTATTTTTTCTTTTTTCCATATTCTTGCTAGTGTCTAATATCCTAATAACACATTTGTTATGTGCATTATTTATACTGTCTCCCTTCATGCTGGGACATAGTCCAAGAAGGGCAAGATCCGTGCCTGCTTTGTTCACTGATGGGACCAAGCATCTAAAACAGGACCTACTTCACTGGAGGTACTCAACAAACATTTTCTTTTTTCAATTCATCGTTCATATTTAAACAATCACATAATTATTACAGAAGCCACCTATGTACACTGCAGAACATTAGAAATAATTAAAAATTTCAATTCCCACCATCTAGTAAAATATCTAAAAATAAAATAACCGAGAGTGGGTTTTTTTTTTAAACCTTCTTTTAAGTGACTCCCTAAGGGCTCCTATCACCTGAGAAGAAATGTCACAGTAGAAATAATACCCCTTTGCAAGGCTTGGTGTACAGATTAAGTGAACTAATGTACCCAAATACTTAACACAATGCTTGCCATGAGATCTTTTTAACTTCCATCCTTCCCCCCAACTTTCAAAGAGTGTGTGGCAGATACCTGCAGGAAACAATTCCTGCAGACATAGGAATGTAATTATCCTGTTTTCAGAAGGGAGGCCTCCCCCTCCCAGCACTTGGAGGACCCAGCCCTGTGGTCCAAAATCACTATGAGGCGTGGCCACTAACTATTCCAAGAGATTTTGTAACAGCCACAAAACAATAATCAGTGACAATGACATTTTTTATATTATATGCCCATCATCCCCATTTGCAAAGATTTTCCTATGAATTTTTCTTTTATAAACAAAAAAACTGGGGTTCAGAGAATATAAGCAACTTGTCTGAGATTACTCAGTAAGTTGAAGGGCTGGGACTTCATTCTAGAATTAGAAGATCACAGTGACAAGGGTGCCTTAGCTTGATGCTTAGTGAACTACATACTATCACTTATAGACTCCCATTCAATAAGTGAAATGCTCTTCTGTCCTTCCTAGATCATGAGCTACTTCCCACCCATCCTCTACACAGGTGACTTACCTGTCGTAACAGACACAAGTCCTTTTGTGGTTGGATAATCCTTCACCAATATTTTCTTCTTGTAAAAAGGAAAATTCGACCTCAGTGGTAAGAGTGTCAGAAAATGGGGAACATCATTGAGGAAGCCTGGGAATCACTGCTCTCGTGAACTGTTGAGAAAAAATAAAACATCAAGAACGTTTTAGGTCTTTTAAGATGAATCTCTTTGCCTTCCATTTCTTGATGAAGTCAGTACAGAAGCCATGCCCTTTTGTTAGTTTTTGCTGAGGCTTTCAATCACGTGAAGTAATATTAAGTTTCATGGCTTATCCTAAATTTATTGTAGGGTTTTAAAAAATATTTAGTATAAACTATTTCCACTTTTGAGGAGATAGAAAGAATCACACCCGTGGACACTGAAAACATCTATGTTTTTACGCACAGAATTCTCAGACTCACTCTTTATGGTAGGTTAGCCCAAATCCAAGGAGCCAGAACACACCCATTCTACCTAGCTGAGAGAAGGCAGAGAGAAGGCGGGAATCCTTAGGTTATCTCTTTCCTCAGAGGTAGCAAAGGCATCTTTTATTCAGACACAAATCAGATTTAGCTAGGTTCAGAAGCTCCCTGTAGGCAAGATACACCATCCCTCCTACACCTACCTCCCCTGGATGACATGGTGACAGCAGATGTTAACTGGAACGGAGGAGGGAAATGTCCAGGAAACAATTCCTGATTCAAATATGTCCTTTGTAAAAACAAGTGGAACAAGACAACACTCTGAGGCAATAATATGGAAAGAAGCCCCTCCAAGTCTCAGGGTGTGGGGGGCGTCCTCCACATGTCCCTAGAGGGACTAGCTTGTGCCAGTTAGGCAAAAATTTCGTCCAAAACCTGTTTAAAGGCATTGGAAGGCTACTCGGGACGTACCAGGCAAGATCTCGGAGCGGCGGGTGACACTGAAGAAAGCCTGGCATTTCATCCCATACTACTTTTCCTTTTGAGACACTACTGATTTTTCAGAAGTATAGGCCAAGCTGCCGAGAAGCCCAGGAAAAAGTAGCTATTTAGAAACACAAAATGTGAGCGGAGTTTTTGTCCATCTTGCAGGATGGAAAGGAAGGTCCCAGAGAGAAGGAACCAGAAGAGAAGCCGTTTAACATTCTGCCTCTCGCCCATCTGCAGATTGGCAGGCGACGTGAACCAGGCAGAAAGCAGCAGAGAGGCCTGAGCGCTGAACAGACAGAGCCCTGGACAGTCCCCATGGTGGGCGGTGACAATTAGAGTTCAGGGCCCACCAAAGGTGTCCAGGTAAATAAGCCATGCTTCCAGTAGTGCTGAAGTCTGCACCTGAGGGTGAAGGCCCACAGAATACCACACCCAGCCTCACATCAGCGCAGTCCCTGGGTCCCTGTGTCCATTAGGGAGGTCTGTCCTACTCCAAATGCCCATCAGAAGCAAAAGTAAGGGCTGGGGCTGTAGCTCAGTGGTGCAGTGCTTGCCTAGCATGCATGAAGCAATGGGTTCAATCTTCAGCACCACATAGAAATAAACAAATAAAATAAAGGCATCGTGTCCATCTATATCTACAAAAAATTTAAAAAAGAAGCAAAAGTAAGCCCTCAGAAGAAAAACCGACACGTCCACAGTATCTACAACTCCTGCAAGTAGTACCACACCCTAGCAGCAATTCCAGGGCATACCAGGATGCGGTTCAAGAAAGAGGCAATGAGCCAGCTGTGGTGGGGCACGCCTGTAATCCCAGTGGTTGGGGAGGCTGAGGCAGAAGGATCACGAGTTCAAAACCAGCCTCAGAAAAAGCAAGGCCCTAGGCAACTCAGTGAGACCCTGTCTCTAAATAAAATACAAAAAAGGGCTGGAGATGTGGCTCAGGTACAGCGCCGCTGGATTCAATCCCCAGTACCAAAAGAAAAAAGAAAAGGCAATGAAAGCAAACCCAGAGGTGGCCCAAATGGAGACAGGGCACAGTCTTTAAAGTACCTACAATGAATATGTCCAAGATTATGAAGATTACGTAAGATTTTAACACATGTCTCTCAGTAACTCACAGAACAAGCAAAAGAAAAAATCAAATAAAAATTCAAATGATTTGAATACCACAAAAGCAACTTTAGTCACCTATGTGGTAGAATGCACCCGACAACTGTGACTACATGTTCTTTGAAGGCATACGCGAAACATTCATAGGAAATGACCACACAGGCCATCAAGTAGATCTCAAGAAATTTCACCAAATGGAAATCATAGCGTATTTTAAAATGTGCCATTCTGAATTAAGGTTTCACAGAAAATCATAAGAATAAATTTCTGCTTTTCCAACTTGAAGTGAAATTTACAATGAAATGCAACACTCTTAGCACCCACAATCTGATACATTTTGTGAAGGGATCCAGCTGTGTAGCCATCAACAAAAATAAAAATATAGAATATTTCCATCACTCCAGAAAGTTCTCCCGTGCCCCCTTCAGTCAATCCCCACACCCCAACAGAAATGTTCTCCTTTCAATACCATCTATTAGTTTTGCCTATTCTTGTGCTTCACTAAACGGGCCCAATCCGAATTTGTTCTTTCACGTTTGTCCCTACGCACCTGGCATAATATCTCTGAGATTCATCTGCATTGTTGTCCACAATTTGCTCTGTTTCAATCTTGAGAAATACTCTGTTTTATGAAAATAGCACATATTTTTATGCCTTCTCTTATGGATGGACATTCAATTGTTTTCATTTGGGAGCTACTTTGAAAAAAGCTGCTATAACTATTCTTGTACAGTCTTTGTGCACATGTACTTTCATTTCTCTTGGGTAAATTCCTTCTACTTCCTAGGAGTAGAACTGCTAGGTTATAGGTTGATAAATATTTATTTCTATAAGAAACTGATCATAAGACTTGAGTAGACACTAAATATGTTAATGCCAATTAGCACACAAAAAGATACAGCATCACTAATCATTAAGGAAATGCAATTAAAACTATGATGAGATACTAAAATAGTTAATGGGTCCCAACATCCCAAACATTTCAGCCAACTCTTCTGTCCAAGAATAGGGGAGGGGGGCTGAATGATGGACGAGACAGACCTGAGCAAGAGAAGGCTAACCAAGTACCGGTTTAGCATTGAGTTTGACCAATAGTCTTGGTACTTTATCAATACCTGATTAGCACAGATACTAATCAATAACCAGTCTTTTTCAAGACCAGATTAGCATAGATATTGATCAATGTCCTTACCCAGTAGCTATATAAACCCCCAGACTACTACATGTTAAGTGGCAATCTGCTATAAGTTCCCCTCTCACCTTACGGAAGTTCTATCTCTTCTACTCCTTTCATTCTTCACTCGACAGTGGTGGAGAAGAATCTGGCTCGCCAGTTGTGACTCTCTGAGTCATGCCAGCAGACATCCCCTGCTGTGATTAGCAGCTAACATGAAAACAGACTTGCTCAGCTGCAATACAGACCCCACCCACCAGCAGAAGTGGAGAAAATCGAGTTTCATCTCAAACTTCAGTTTTATTTATTTACTTTCAATTTTTTAAATTTGTTCTTTTTAGTTACATAGGACAGTAGAATGTGTTTTGAAATATCATATATACATGGAGTATAACTTCCCATTTTTGAGATTGTACATGATATGGAGTTACACTGGTCACGGATTCATATATGAACATAGGAAAGTTAAGCCCAATTCATTCTACTGTCTTTCCCATTCCCATCCCCCCTTCTTTACCCCCACTCTGCCCTGTACAATCTGATGAACTCCCCCTACCTCCCCTCAACCCCCCCTACCTATTGTGATTCAGGAAAATGCCATTATTTCATTCTTATTTATGTCTGAGTAATATTTCATTGTGTATATGAATCACAGTTTCTTTATCATTCATCTGTTGAAGGGCACCTCAGTTGGTTCCATAGCTTAGATATTGTGAATTGAGCTGCTATAAATATTGAGGTGGCCGTGTCACTGTAGTATGTTGACTTTAAGTCCATTGGGTATAAACTGAGGAGTGGGATAACTGGGTCAAATGGTGGTTCCATTCTAAGTTTTCTAAGGAATCTCCATACTGCTTTGCAGAGCGGTTACACCAATTTGCAGTCCCACCAGCAATGTATGAGTGCACCTTTCCCCCCACATCCTCACCAACATTTATCGTTACTTATGTTCTTGATAATTGCCATTCTGACAGGAGTGAGATGAAATCTCAGTGCAGTTTTAATTTGCATTTCTCTAATTGCTAGAGATGTTGAACAGTTGTTTCATATTTGTTGACTGATTGTATTTCTTCTTCTGTGGAGTGTCTATTCAGTTCCACTGCCCATTTGTTGATAGTTTTTTGTTTGTTTGTTTGTTTTTTGTTTTTGGTGTTAAGTTTTTTGAGTTCTGTGTATATCCTGGAGATTATGCTCTATCTGAGGTACAGGAGGCAAAGAATTTTCTACCATTCTCTTCATGTTCTTGATTGTTTCCTTTGCTATGAAGAAGCATTTTAGTTTGATACTATCCCATTTGTTGATTCTTGATTTTACTTCTTTGTGCTTCAGGAGTCTTGTTGAGGAATTCAGTTCTTAAGATGACATGATGAAGATTTGGGTTTACCTTTTTTTCTGGTATGCGCAGGGTCTCTGGTCTAATGCCTAAGTCCTTGATCTCCTTTGAGTTGAGTTTTGTGCAAAGTGAGAGATAGGGGTTTAATTTCATTTTGCTGCATATGGATTTCCAGTTTTCCCAGCACTATTTGTTGAAGAGGCTATCTTTTCTCCGATGTATGTTTATGGCACCTTTGTCTAGTATGAGATAACTGTATTTATGTGGGTTTGTCTCTGGGTCTTCTATTGTGTACCGTTGGTCTTCCTGTCTGTTTTGGTGCCAATACCATGCCAATTCTGTTACTATAGCTCTGTGGTATAATTAAGGTGTGGTATTGTGATGCCTCCTGCTTTGCTTTTCTCACTAAGAATTGCTTTGGCTATTCTGGGCTTCTTATTTTTCCAAATGAATTTCATGACTACTTTTTCTATTTCTATGAAGAACATCATCAGAACCGTAATAGAAATTGCATTAATTCTATAGAGCACTTTTGGTAGTATAGCCATTTTGACAATATTAATTCTGCCTGTCCAAGAACCTGGGATATCTTTACATCTTCT